GAGTGGTTTAGAACTGGTGTGGTCTCCATGGGCTGTATTTTGCTGAGCTGCCTTGGAGAAAAACTTAAAATCCAGGCATACCTGTTGTGCCCAATAGAAACATGTGCAGCATATTTTGGTGGGTGTTGTAATTAAAAGCAATCAAAGATGTTTTTAGGTTCTTTGCATAGTAGAAACCACATGCTTTTTAGTCCAAAACCATGAGAAAGCCTTTGGTATCATTTTCAAGTTTTTTATTACAAGACACCAGAATTTAACTTTTTTCTTTTTGTATTCTTTCACTAATAGCCATATATTAAACTGGCTCTAATACTTGCAGATTTGGGGCCAAGCAATTCTGACAACAATTTGGAAAACTGTACCAATAAGAATTTGAGCAACTTCCACAATGTAGTTATAATGCCACATCTCTTAGAGCAGTCAGACTTTACTGCACCAAGGGACCATGGGCCCATCCAATGGGACAAATTCCACAAACTAATTTTAATAGAGCATAGAGTCTGGTGTTTTTGTTTGTTTGTTTTTAAATTTTTTTCCAACTCCCCATCCCCTTACTCCTCAGATGAAAAGAAGTTATATGGACTTTGTGATGTTTTCTGCTATGTAAAATGTCTGGTATACCATCTTTGGCATGTCAAAGGAGTGGAAAATAATGCGTTTCGGAAAGAAGGCAAACCACTGCACCCACAATGCTGCACATAGACTCACATCACTGCCGAACATCTACCATAGTCCTTCAAAACATGCCGAGACAGGGCGAAGCCCTCAGATAGTCCAGGGCACCACCAGCCACTGCGTTGTGACACATGGTTTTTAAAGCATTATTTACACACAATAGGGAACACTAAGGTCAAGCTTTGAAGCTCAGTTAGGGTCTCTTGTGCATTAAGGAATCAGTGACCACCACTATGTAGAATTCACAGGGGCCATCATATCATAAGAATGTTAGAATAATGTTAGAATCGATCCAAGGGACACTGCCTCCACCCTTTCTTCACACACAGTTGATGAAGGGGGGAAATGTTTCTGCTGGACTTGATCACAAAGGGATGGAAACTCACCTGAGGGCAAGTTGCCTCTGCAAAGGATATACAGTCAAATCTTGACTAACTGGAATGCTTGGTAATGAGACATTTTAGGTGAATTATATCTTTCTTAATGAACCATGGGTCATGGAGGAAAATTTTGATTCAAGGACTGTGGAAAAGATCCAAACTGAATATCTTTGTTTGACTCTCAAGATGCTTTCTGTCTGAGAGTCTTAGGGTAATGGACATAATCAAATCTTCCTTGCTTATGATTTTTACAGATGTGCCTGATGGCCTTTCCCCCAGCAGATCAACTCTTACTATTTGGTCCTCTTAAATGCAGAAGTTGTAGGGGGCTGGAGGCTATGTGAGACAATGCAAACCACCTTGATTGCCCTGAAGAAAAACCATTTTAAATCTCTGATGTAATTTTGTTTGTTTGTTTTTGCTAAAAGGGAAAAGGAGCAAAAGTATACAGTCGAGGGCACCAATTAGCTAGATTCCAGTTAATCAGGCTTTACTGTAGATCATTCTTTAAAACACACAAAAAATTTATTTATTTGTAAATTGAGCCCCTCCCCCTCCTAAACAGGAAGTGGGATATTTTAAATCAGCCTCAAAGTTTAAAGGATGTGAATGGTCATATAATCCACTAAAAATGACATCAATTTCTATGCTAAAAGCTAGGATCAGGAGAGCTTTTAGGAAAAAGGCTTCTTTTAAAAGGGGGAGGTAGGAGGAGTGAGGGAAATAGGGTAATGAGTTTAATTTTCCAAATGCATGTTGGTCCACCCACTCATGCATTTATTTATCTTTTTTTCACTGCTAGTCAAATGAATCTCTTCCAGAACCCTTACTTTCGGGTTCCTTCTGTTGCAAACCTTTATAACCACATGTCACATTTCTGCTACATTCCAAAAGAAGCGTTGCAGAACCTTGAGGACAGTCGAATGTTTTTGTGATGTCGTGCATGCAAACTCTACACATTTCAACATTTCAGCCAGTGTACGGGTAGAGCTTCCAAAGGGAAGAATTTGAGAGAGATGGGTTCAATTTGGGAAAGTCTTCAGCCTTTTTTTGCTAAAGAAGTTATTGCCTCTGCTTGGGATGCAGCTGCAACATATCGTGACCAAATTTGGAAACTGGTGAGTAGGAGAAAGGGAGAATCTCTGTCATACTACCCAATGCTTGCTTGGGCCAAATCATCTGTCTCTGAAAAAAAATCAAACCTTGATACATACATGTTTCTCATCTTTCAAACTTACCCCCAGCCTTGTCTAAATCTATCATTTTGGCTCTAGGGATTGGAGAATATTAAAGTTCCCTGGGTGCCTCTTTCTAGAGGTTTGTCTCTGTCTGAAGGTACACTTTCTGGAAAATGTTGAAATGTTCATCAATAAAAGTTGCTGACAGTGAAGCTTTCACTGTAGTATGCCTGATTTTTAATGCATCAACAGTAACTCCCACTAATATCATCTATGCTATGAGATGAATGCATTGGAGACGGTTTTGATCTGTTCTGCATGCCACATACTCATCCTGCCTATGAGCCTGGCAGGAATGAGCTTGTCAAGGCTTGGAGATGGGCCTTGGGAAACCGAAGCTACAGGCAGGCAGGCAGCACCTACTTGTTACAGGGACACACACAAAGCCCGCAGAATTTTCCTAGGTCCGTCAAATTCTTTTCTGCTTCTTTCATGTCCTTATTGATTTGGTCCATCCCTTCCTCAATGCGTTCCAGTTGTTCTGATTAAACACAAGTATTTTATCCCCACAGAATGAAGCAGATGAAAAAGGACAAAGAAAAAAAAGACAAAACTTCAGACATTCACTTTGACATTAAAAAAGAAAAAAAAAAAAAAAAGGAAGAGAAGGGACTGCAGCATGGCCATTCCCAACCCCCCACACACACACACACACACACACACTCAGAGTGATTTCTCATTTTCCTTCTCTCTCTGGTTTCTTTGGTGGGCACATGTGCCCTATGGCAAAAAACAAAAAGAAAGAAAGAAAGAAAGAAAGAAAGAAAGAAAGAGAGAGAGAGAGAGAGAGAGAGAGAGAGAGAGAGAAAGAAAGAAAGAAAGAAAGAAAGAAAGAAAGAAAGAAAACTGGACGCCACAGATTAGAGCTGGTACCCAGTACCTACTTGTTACAAGGACATATGAAAAGGCCACAGCATTTCCCTAAATCTTTTAAATTTTTCTCGGCCTCCTTCATGTCTTGGTTGATATGGTTCATGCCTTCTTCGACACGATCGAGTTGTTCTGGTTAGGACAAAGGGATGACAGTGTGGAATGAATTTTTGGGGGTTTCCAACAGAACATGAGAAATGATTATGTGAACAGGAATTTGAAAGAGAAAGAGAGAAATTACAATGCATTGTCCAAGAGGATGCATTGTTATGGATCAGACCTTGCAGCTGCCCTATTCAGGCACAGGTAGAAGGAAGAGAACAAAAAGATGCTCAAAATAGTTTGTAATTCCAATATGATGGGGTGGGGTTAGAGGGCCTATTTGATTCTGAGTACCCAGGAAATAGCACAGTATATTCACTTACTCAGATACCAGTGAATCCCGAGAGAAAGAAAAACAGGGTGTTAGTTTATGATTTAGACATTCCAATTTAATGCTACTAGAAAAGGTACCTTTAAAATATCCAAAATATGCCTGTCTTTTTTTATTTTTATTTTATTATTTTTTTTTTTTGTAGCATCCTCAACTAGAAAGGGATAGAGAAGAGAATCCATTTTCTTCTTTGGAGAAAACAACAGCAGCAATAATTAACAATGGTCACAGATCTTTTACTTCCCCTGGCAGTGGCTATGTAGCCAAAGGTAGCCCACGATCTGTTCTTGGTTTTGTATATTTAATTCATAGAAGTTATAAAAGAAAGTCACATCAGTACAACAACACAAGAAATACTGGAGCATTTTGATCCCTCTCACATTCTGTGACTTACTTGCTCTGTAACTTTTGGAAGGCATTTCACTGATCTGCCTCCTAATTCCCTTGTCTCTACAATGAAGGGCATGCTAAATATCAACCCTAGGCAGAGGGCAGAAAGAATGACTGTCTCTGGAGGAGGGGTTTGTTCCTAGAAAAGCCAAGCTTAGTGTATGTAAGACTTAGATCTTGGATCGATAGTCATAAAAACAAATCATACTTTTAGGTTGCCAGGGTTACATTCACCAACTTGATTCATTTCTCAAAAGTTGTGTCATCAAATTGAGGTAACTATAAGTTCAACTCAAGGTTTTTTAAAATTGCTTTTAAGACCATTAAAGCAAAGCAGCCATGGGATGTCTTGGCTGTCTAATTACAAAACCTAATTATATTTTCATTCCTCTTTTCATCTACATTTCATGCATGCATGCCCATGCTTCCGGGAATAAAGGCATGCTTAGAATAAAACTAAGTACAGTTTTAGCCTAAGGGCATAAGTAATCACTTAAGAACAATTTCACATTAAATTGTACAGTGGAAATTGTCATTCTAAAAAACTAAGGTAGGTTTATTGGGTATCCAAACTAGAGAGACTGTAAATTGGGAAAATAAATGCCTATCGTTTTGTCTTTTGGAAAACACCAAAGAATGGAACTCAGTTTATTAGTAATATGTTCTTTCTGCTGTGCTCTTTAAATGATTGGTAAAACAAATTTCAGTGTTTATGCAGACTTGGATACTTGGAGAAAATCACAGGATAGTGTTGGGAGAATTTTACTGAATAAACACAGATAACATCATACCTTTAAAGAAAAAAATATATATATAAATGACAATTGTTTATATTCCAGATTTTTGTTCCTGAGCTTCACTCCAGTTTCCTTTTAAGAATACAATAAATTAGTTTGTAGATCGAAGAAAATACTCGGGAAAGGGGATTGGTAGGGAGGAAAGAAACTCAATATGGAAGAGCTCACAGCATCAAATGAAGAGCCATTGTACGTCCAGACAGAAATAGGGAAGTCAAATTTCAATTCAACGATTGCTGATGGCTTTTGAAAGTGCTGATTAAGATGGATTAAAGGAGGTCTATATGCTCAGAGGGAATATATGTTGGACTCAAATAATGACAACTGAAATAAACACAGATTACGGCATGGGAATACACATATTTTTTTTTAACCAAAATATTAACTCTGACAAGATTTCAGAAATCACATCTACTGTGTCTCCAGAGATTAGGATGTAACATATAAATATGTGAGTTGGTTCACAAGTGTTGAACTTCTGAACTAGAGAAGTGAAATTAAAAGATAAAAGCAAATAGGCAAATCTAAATTAATATTTCCAAGAATTGGGTTCTATCAAGGATCATCAGCTTGGTTTAGCTCAGGTTTGAAATTCTGAAGTTTAATTTTATTTAGAGAACTACTCAGAAAACAGTCTATTCAGAAAACTATTTTATACCTACCAATATTAGCTGACTATATGTTCATATAGAAATTATATCAAAACAGTAATTTAAAAAATATTGTAGAACCCACTTTGTCACAAATATTCTAATAATCATGTTAATTTTTAGAGTGAACTGAATTAGATTTGTGGTTATGTTTAGCAGATTGGGACTTTACAGCATTTTAATGATTTCTGTGAAGACATTTACCAGGAAGTTTGAAAGCAACCAATGCCTTCTCTCCCTTCTGGGATGGACAGGAACACGTGGGAGGCTTAAATAATGCACTACTCAGATTGGACTGCTTACTACCTCCCTAAGCTTGCTTTCTGACTGTTTTCTGTTTATTTCTGGAGGCTGGAAAGAGAATAACATTTTAGTTAGGAAGCATCTTCTAGTAGACAACACTATATCTTGGTTGAGCTTAAACTTTCACGTGCATGGGTCATTTGTGACAGACCTTCCAATGGCAGGATGAGCTAAAGGTACACATTTTTTTCTACTAATCTCATCTATGTAAGGCAAGGGCCCTTAGAATCCTCAACCTGGTCAAAACAAAACAAAACAAAACACTAGAAGAATAGCAAGAATCAGCACTATTGACCTACAAGTCTTCCTAAGCATATCAAGTTACAAGATATTGCCTATGAGATTTTAATTTTCCTTAACACTGATGAACATAGAAATTCATTTAAATAAATTTAAATAGCCATAAATGGTAGTAGCTACCATATTGGGTAGTACAGCCTTAATCATTCACAATAGTTACTGGAGAGTAGACTTTAACAGAAGGAATGTTTTCTCAAATGCTCTTATAGTGTCATAAACCTTTATGATAGCTGGATGGCTCTTTGGTTAGGGTTTTACTTTGAATTTCTTCTATCAGGAAGTGGTAAAAAATTTCACTATTTGGTGTATAGTTGATCCCAGGGGATTTTCCTGAAAGTCATACCTCAGCATCAAAACAAACATATAACCCACCAAAGAGGACAAAAGAAACGAGAGATATGGTGGTAAAGGTTTAGGTTATCCTGCATTAGTGCCAAAGTTGTTTCAGGGGATTTCTCTTGGAGACAAGTTTTCTAGAGGAATAAATGTCCCAGGGCTCAGTACATTTTCAGGGCTGTCTGTCATGCTCAGTGCTCCATGATGTCTCCTGATACCTGGATATAAAACAAGAAACCCGTAAGGAATTTCCCAACACAATTGTTTAGCTGGACAACCTGGAATGGTCTGGCCTGACCCAACTGTGGTTGGAATGGTTCTTTAGAAGGATGACTGTTTCTTGAAGCTCTTGTGTAGCTGCAGGTAGGAATAGTCAATGCTTTTGGTGTTCAGGCATAGACAAAATTAGCAGAGCATAACTGAAGAGAAATTTTAAAGCAGTATTACCGATCTAAGCAGCTAAACACGGCATATGCAAAATAAAATGCATCTACTATCGTAGCGAAGATTGTTGTTGATTCATGCTCATCTCTCATGTTAAAAGGTCTTGAGTTCCTATTGCAGCATAAAGGAGATGTATACCACCTCAGGCCAGGCAGAAACCGCCAACTTGTGGAATTTTTACAGTTGTATGTTTCTCATCAATGTCAGTCTATTTATTGCACATCTGTTAAAAACCGAGGCTATCATAGAAAACATGTTCATCTGAGAAATTCAGCACTTACTGTGGTATGGGTGGCCATAATTGAAATGTTTTAGCTCAGAACATTAACTATCTCATGGGGAAATCTGTCAAACAGATATTCTATTCTGCTGTACTTCTCAGGGAATGATACATGGGTGCTCCTGGGAAACATTTGCGCTTAAGAATTTCATACTTTTGCATCTGTAAGGGGATCTCAGCAAATTATATCTCTAGATTTTCTTCATCAGAGCATAATGAAATTTACAACTTGAGTAACTGTGTTATTTACTTTCTTTTGGATTCCAGTTTTTATGTCTTATGTTTCCATGTTTTTTTATGTCTTTATGTCCATGTTTTACAGTTGTGGGGGAGGGAGGCATTATCTGGATTTTCTCCAAAACTTCCTTTTGTTACAATGCTCCTTTCTCCACCACCTTCACACTGAAAATTATTTACTGAAAGAGTTGATTATTTGAGTGTATATGTATCGACTTTGCTCTGGAAATGAAGTACCACTATTTTTAAGGGCACCAACTGTTTAATCTTTTTTTTTTTTTTTTTTTTAAAGTAATGACTTGCTGTATCCTGAGTTTAAAACCCTGGGACATTGTTAGACAGACTATATCAGAAAATCTTATGATTGTGGCAAATTCATTTGAGGAAGTCTAAAGACTGGTATTGTTATAGTAATACCTTCAAAATAAAACTCTACTTAAGCTCTGTTATTAATATTTGTGTATAAATTTTGACCATTTGTATTTTGAAAAATAGACTAAAAGCATTGAGATTGATGTATTTCCAATACTCTTTTCTAATTAAAAAACCCTGATTGCTGTATATTTATTAAAAAATTGTAATGCAATAAGTGATGTAAAGACAAAAGTTCTCATATGAGAGTCATAGGGATATACCTCTGAGAACTTCTGTTAAGAGGGAATCCAGAGCCAGTCCTGTAGCCTAGTGGTTAAAGGAGCTAAATCCCATATGGCCAACTGTGATTCAAATCCTAGCCCTAATGGCTTGAAAAACACTGGATATATGTGTGTGCATGCCCCAAATCCTGACAGGATGGAGAGAAGGAGAAGAGATTACGATGTGACTATGCCCCATTGGAGGTTGCTTTATTTCTCTTTCTTCCCTCACTCTCTCTCTCTGGAAAGTGCATATACCCTTTGCCAATAAAAAGAGAAAGAGAGAGAGAGAAGAAAGAGAGAGAGAGAACGAGAATCTGTCAGGAGGGATGTAGGTGGCTGATGGCTCTAGCTATGTACCTGTGAGACCCACTACAGCATTTACATTGAAGCCTTGCTCTCCCTGGGAAGCTTCAAGTCAATAGCTAAGCATGGGGGGTGGGGGGGGGCTGGGGGGCTACAAGAGCTGGAGCATTTCTGTCTAGTACAGGGCTCCTCTAAGGAGTGACTTTTGCGCTCCTCTAAGGAGTGACTTTTGCTCATGGTCTTTTTTTTTTTTTGAGAGGTTTTTGCTATAGGGCGTGTGCGCTCTCAGACAGAGAGACAGAAAGTGAGAAATCATGCCCCAAGGGGCATGGCCACACTGCAATCCCTTCTCCTCCATTCTCCTCTCGGGATCTTGGGCACGCATGCACATGCGCCCGGCGTGAGTTTAAGCCACTGGGTCCGGGACTCGAACCGCGGTCGACTACGTGGGAGTCCAGTGACATAGCCATTACGCTAACTGCTGGTCCCGCTCATGGTCTCTTCATCAGCCTGGATGAGATTTTCACAGAGAAGCACTGAAGTCTAAGGTTCTCCCCACCCAAACTTTCCTTTCCAATCTCCTTTCACAGGAGTCAGAGCTGAGTCATGGCCTGAAGCCACTCCCTGCTGATTCCTGTTCCCTCTCCTCTTTACCCAACACAAATGTTTCCCAAACAAATTTCTTATACTTCTAAATGCTTCTTATCATTTATTTCCCTGAGGACTCAATATACCTCCCTCCAGTTCCTTTCTTCCCCATCCCAACTCCTTAGAAATCAATAAGTAAAGATATACCTCATTTATTGTATTGGTTGCATAACATTTTTTATGGCCATGCCATAATTAATTTGGTTGTTCTCCCACTGACAGAAATTTAGGTATTTCTAGTCATACATGATTATAAGCAATAAATATAAATTCTAGGAGTAAGATGTATTAGTCAAAGATAGGCGCATTTCAAAGTTAAATATACTACAAAATTATTTTTTGAGATATTTCTACTGGTCTCTATAGCACACAACTGTTGAATGACGGTTTGTTTCCTCAACACAGTAACAGCATTAGTTGTTATCAATTTTTAAAAGTTATACCAATCTGCTATAAAGTGTTGTATCTCATTATTGTTGATGAATGGAACATGGCTTATTTAGTCTATTTGTCTATTGAGGATTTGTATATACTGTCCATTTTTTTAAGGTCTTTGCCCTTTTATTTAATGCTATGCAAGAGTTTTCTGTATTTCAGGTAAATGCCTATGTCTGTGATTTCTGTGGCAATTTTTCCCCCAGCTTGATATTTGTGCTTGGGATTTATTTATGGTATCCTGTGCTATAAATTAAATAAGTTTTTACATTTTAAAAAGAAAAACTCATTATTGTGGAAATTTTTCTAATACTTTCTCAAAATAAGAATAAACAGAAAAAACTTCCAAAAATATGTTTCTTATGATTAAGAATTCAAAATGCAATCAGGCAACTAATTTCTGGCTAGAATTATATGCACTATCACCATATGGTTAGATTATTGAGATAAAGAACAATTATGATATTACCCTTCTGTGTTCTACGTTAGAATATAAAGATATTATACTAAAATGCTGGTACTCTGATTTTCATTATTTCTGGCATTTCTATAATGATTTTAAAAGTAGGTCAAATATTTCAATTGGTTTAATTTGTCTTTTTCAGATGATACTTTTTTGCTTATATCCTATTAAAAATAACTTCCAGTGAAGCTGGCAGGTGGCATGGTGGTTCAGATGCTGGACTCTCCCTTAAGGTCAATCATGGTTCAAGTCCCAGACCTGGCACCTTGCATTCTCACTTTTCCACTCTCTATAGTCACATTAAAAAATAATAATACACTTATTGCCAGATTTTACCTTTGTCCATATCTGTTGAGTATTTAGTATCTGCCTACTGTTTGAACAAAATTCTAATCTTTTTCCTGGTTTTAAGTCTTAGGCAATTTTTTCTTAACACTACTGTTGAATTTTGATGTATTAAAGCTAAAACTGCTTTTCTTGAAATTAAAAAAATACATACATATATATATATATGTATGTGTGTGTCTATCTATATATATATACATATCTATATGTATGTAATGACTACAGTAAGCTATATAGCCTCAGCTAGGTGCTGCTTTATAGTATGTTCATCCTATTCACTGAGTTTTATTCCTAAAGTCATACGTGTGTTCACAGATATGTGTATGTCCACTGTACTTGTTATTGAAAGTATTTAGATTAGTTAAGATCCTTTGTGAATCAATAAAATATGAAAAAAATTATAAATGGCCATTAGTCAAGGATATTATTGACAGTTGATTATTATTAACTATATTGACCAATATTGACTTGTTAATCATTATTGTTAGTCAATATTATGGTATATTCATGCAATCAAATTTATGTAGTCATTAAAATATATGTATGATGTCTATGTATAAAAATGTTGATAATGTGTATAAAAATATCTTTAATAAAAATAATAATAAGTAAAATAATTATTTTTAAAAATAGCTTCCCGTTATTTAGGGAATTCTCATAGGTGACTTGGACTCAAAACTGCCAGGTTTTAAATAAGGATGATCAAAAGAGTAGATAATATAATACACTATATTCTCATTCTTTCTACATATTATTAAAAGAAAATCAAATTTATTAGAGGTGGGGTTAAGTGGAATAAAATAATTCTCATACTGTCCAAAATACTATCATTTAAAATAAATAAACAAATGGCTTTTGCTTTAAAAGTTCTGTTACCTCAACACATAGAACAGAGATAATATTACCATTCATTCAATCATGAAGAAGGCCTCGACATTTCCATACTTTTTTCTTTTTTACCAATCTTTTCAACAGAGGAAGGAAAAAAGCAAGATGAAAAGTCTAGAAACTTTACACTCATATACATGCATAACACATGTCAAAATGGCCCCCTGGGTATGCACAAATAATTTAAAACTGCATGCTATTCAGATGAGGAATTGTGCTTACTGAAGAAATCTGAACTTACCTCCTTGTTCATCCAACATAACCAAAGTCCTGATACCAGCATCTTTACTCTACATTCCAATAATGGTAGCAAAGTTGAAAAGAAGTTAGAGAAAAAGAGAGAAAGAGAAATCAGTAAGGGAACAATTAGTTATAGAAATGGAAAATGAAGAAGGACCAAAAAAAAAAAGGGGGGGGGAAATAATGGCAAGGGCATTAAGGGGTTAGATGGAGGAGGGGCAATCAGAACAATGGGGTATCCTGTGGATTTGCTCTATTAGTTATTCTCAGGGGGCAGAAAGGGTAGAAATTAGAATGGGACTTCCAATACCTCTCTCTGTCTTTCTATGGCAAAACCCTTTAAAAAAAAAGGATGCATTCAACCTATATTGGAATATACAAACTTAATATTATACTGTAACTTTTATATTTAGAAAATAAATGCCTATGGTTTTCATAACATCCATCATTGAAATCAGAGCTATTAAAATCCTCATTAGTATGTTATGCCAAAAAAGAAAATGTAGATTTTAATAGGTTGAATGTATCCTTTTGCCCCATTGGGAAGATGTATAAGAATCTTGGGGGCATAAGATTTTTAGGTTTATCAAAAGAGAGCATGGATACACAAAGGTGGAGAAACGCAGCTCAAAAGAAGACCCATTCTACCATTCTCTATGAAGAGAAGTTCTACAACATTTAGAAAAGAGATTGAGATGAAAAACAATGACTTTTTTTAATGAGATCTAAAATTCTCCTCAATGTTACAATATGAGAAAAGAATTCTCTACACATTTTACTGCAGTTCTTTTGTGTAAGAGAAGCTTTTAAAAGGTACTCCTCATCTCACTCATTATCCAAATAAAGCAAATACCACCTGACTTCTGTGAAGAAGAGAGTAGTAGTTGGTAGGCTGGGAAGGGACAAAGACATTCTTGTCCTTCATTCTCAGTAGTCATCATTTCTAGAAATTTTAGCCAGTTAAGTAAAGGCCTTTCACCTTACAGAGTAAGTGTTAACATCTTTAAAATGGCATTGTTTACTTAGGATTACTTATTTTTTCAAGGAAAGCTCATGGTAGCCTCCAGAATAAATTTTAAAAATTTAAACAAACTTACTTGGAACTAAGAAAGGAAAGTGATGTTAGTGGAGCTCAACAGAAGATTTTCTCAATATAGCATTTGTTTGTTTGTTTGTTTGTTAGAGGGTGTGTGCACTCACTAGAGAGAGGAGAAAGCACACCCAATGGGGAATGGTCACCCTGCAATTCCTTCTCCACCATCTTTCCATCCTTTTGGAATTTGGGGCATGCACACATACATGGTGGGTGTGTTTTTTAAGCTGCTGTATCTAGGACAGAAACCATGTAGTTGACCACATGGGATCCAGCCACCTTAACCACCAGGTCATGGAACCAGCCCTTAATGCAGTATTTTAATAATAAAATTTCAATAGTGCTTCTAAAAAATTAAATAAAACACTGAAAATTCTTCCTATGTGCTTTTACAAACTCACCATTTTTGAGATACATGGGTTGATTCTCCAGGACAAGAAAGCCTACCTCCATTTTGAGCATACTTTGATAGGTCTTAGCAGGACAGTTAGAATGTAGTTTGGAGAGTGAGAGCACAAGGTGATTTTAGGAGTCATTGACAGCACAGATTATAAAGCCAGATTCTGGACTGGAATCTTGGTGATTCTATTTCCAGCTATAGGACCTCAGCCAAGTATCCTGGTTGCTTTTGTTTGTAATACAGCAATAATAATAGTTAATACCTCATTGACTTTTTATGTGAATTAAATGAATTAATATGTGGAATGCGCTAGAAGAAAGCTTGTTTAATAGTAAGCATTACATAAGTGCTATAAAATAAATATACTCAGAATATGCTGACCCTGTGTACTGGGAGTCAGATCTAACATGGCCACTGGCTTGAATCCTGGCCTCAGTGGCTTGAAAAACACACCAGACATGTATGCATGCCTGCCCAAAATCCTCACAGTGTGGAGAAATGGAGGAATAAGATTGCAGCATGCATGTCCCAATGGGAGGGTATCTTCTCTCTCTTGTGAGTACATATGCCTTTGGCAAATAAATAAAAAAAGAAGGAAAGAGAGAGAGAGAAGAAAAAAGTAAAAGAAACAAGAAAATGCATGTATAGCAGACTATCTCAGCAAACTAACAGTATCATTACCAAGTACCACCGAAAGCTTCTAGACCAAGACTTCTCAAATTTTAATGTGTGTCTGACTCTCCATGCATATGAATCATCTTGTTAAAATATAGGTTTGGATTCAGTAGGACTGTGGTAGAGTCTGAGATTCTGCATTTCTAATAAGCTCCCTGATGCATACTGCTAGTGAGGGAGACACTGAGTAGTGAGATACAGACCACGAAGGCATTTGAAAATTTTTTATCGTTTTTTAAAGGGTTGTAAGCACATCTTTGTGTATATTGGCTTTTTGTTTGTTTGGTTTTGGTTTTTGGTTTTTGCCATAAGGTGTGTGTGCTTACCAGAGAGAGACAGAGAAAGAGAAGCAGGAAAGTGAGAAATCACCACTCCCCAATCCAGGGGGTAAAGTCATGCTGCAATCCTTTCTCCTCCATTCTCCTCTCAGAATTTTGGACATGTATACACTTGTACCTGGCATGATTTTCAGGCTGTGATCTTCATGATTTAAAACTGTAGTAGGCCATGTGAGAATTCAGTGTCTTAATCACCATGCCACCTGCTGGCCCCTACTGGCCTACATTTTAATTATTTCTTTTTCCTTTAGTGCACATTTTAGCCACTGCTAATGAAATGAAACTCTGAAAAATGGCTTATTCAGGCATTTGGATGTGACAGTGCAAGTTCTGGTGAGGACAGAGGCAACTCAGAGAACACGTTCTCCTCAAGGACCCAGTCAAGGCCACGCCTGAGATCCCCGCTCCATTCTACTGGAGACAATGGATGGGAAACAGGTTAGTGATTTTAGTTAGGTCAGTCCAGCTCTTATCTGTTTACACTCTTCAATATTTTGTGATGCCTTTTGTTCATTTGCTTATTTGCAATAAAGTGTATGTGCGTGCCAGCGAGAGACAGAGAGAAAAAGTGTGAAATTTCTCCTAGAGGGAGGGCCATGCTGCAGTTCCTTCACCTCCATTCTCCTCTCAGGACTTTGGACATCCTCACATACACATCCAGTGTGATTTCAAGCCGCTGGGTCCAAGACTCCAATGGCACAGTCAGCCATGTGGGATCCAGCTACCTTAACTTCCTGGCCCTATTATATCATTTTTATATGGAGCCTGGCATGTATTATTTCACGTTGGTCTAGTCCAGTGCCAAATGTTTCAGCAGTAAGTAGTTCACAGAATTAATTTGCAGGCGGAGTTTTTAAGGTCACTCCATTTAGCGAGGACAGAAACAGACAGCAGTGATCTAGGCATCAGGAATGCTGGGTTGTGATCCTAATTCAGTCACCCATTAGTCCCGAGACTGTGAAGAGTCACAAACCTACCAGATTTCCCACATTTAAGATAAGAGCGGGGATGCCAAGTAAGAGTGTGTGGTTGGTAAGTTGATTCATTTATTCACTTGCTCACTCACTCATTCATTCAGTAAAAGTTTATTGAGTCTCTACCCTATCCCAGGCACTAAGAATAAAGGGCAAACAAGGGCAAGGCTTCTCAACTCTGCTTCCCAGTGGGAGAATGAGTATTCAGGTGGGCAAAGCTGGGATCTGGGAGTCAGCTAATTCTGAATTCTAGACCTATCTTTGCAGTGCTACTGCTCTAAATCATCTTTCGGTATTGCAGCTACTCAACTGTCAAATGAAGACAGGAAGGGCTCCCTCACTTTCTACAGTAGTTATGAGGATACAATGAGCTACAGAAACCGAAGTCCTCTAAAGGTTCACTGCTGTGGGAGCCTGTGTGGTAGCTTTAGAAAGGAGCACATTAACATGCAGAAAATTTGAGCATTGTTTCCATCAGTTTAGAATCAGCTGCTTTGTTGTCTTAGATCCTTTCACTGTGGAATTCTCAAAGAGAAAATAGATACTGTAGGAGAGTGGCTGGTGAAAGGAAAGTTAAGTGTTGTGCATAAGAATTCACACTCCAGAATCCTATAGACCTGGGTTTTAATTTTCTCTGTGCCATTTATAAATGTGTGTCTCTAGCCAGTTACCTAACCCCTGTGTAGTTCAAATTCCTACATGGTAAAATGGTGATGAAGTAGTATTCAAAGGTGGCTACAAGGATTAAATTCAATAATATATGTTAGATGATGATGGTGCTAGTTCTAAATATAGGACACAGAGTAGATCCTTAATAAACATGAGAACTTACATGGGTTCCACTGTTTTGCTGACAGTTTCTATCAGAATAACTGCATGGTTCTTTGGGGGGACTAGAAGCCCAAGAAAAGGATGAGGATGAAGACAATATTTCAGGAGATGTAAAACATTATTTTCTCTTATTCTTTAAAGAGTATTTACTTTACTTTTAACTTAGTTCTCTACTTATTTTTGTTTGGTTTTTGAACTGATCTCAGACAATGTACAGAGAACATTTTTGAATCCTCTGTCTATTCCAAGATGCTTTCTCAAAGTCCAATACATTCGAGCTAAAATTAGAACACCCCAGGCACTGTCTTAAGTGCCTGAGTTCCAGAAGACCCCATATCTACATATCTGAAAAGAACTGCCAAACCTGATTTTTTTGACTTTTAACAGAAAGTCTGACCTAACACAAACATAGCTTTAGAATGCTTATTTTCTATCCATGACCAAATTGTCTTGAAAGATAAGTTAGCATGAAAAGAAAAAATGCCAAAACACTCATGAAAAGCAGTATTGCTTGTTCTGTGCTATTTTTTTATAGCCCAAGAAATTGATGTGTAGACTTCATTTATTATATTAAGTATTAGCAGAATTAATTTGGGGGGGGGGCACTGGAATCCCATACTCCCTCCTTGAAGCTACCTTCATGATTTTCCTACCAGAATCAATTGTTCCCTCTACTGTGCTGCTAAAGCAGGCATGACCTTGAATTTGGAGAGCTGTTTCTAGCTTTTCCTTGCAATTTATCTCTCTCCTCCTATCCCAAGTTAGGTGTTCCATAAACATTTTTTGAAATGCATGCACTAAGAGAGTTCCCACCTCCAGGCTAGGCACCAAGAGTTATATGACTTGTAACCTTTTACCTCTCTATGGTGTTCAGCTTTTCTAAACTTTCCTCATCAATGTCCTAACTTTATGTTGTCCTTGAAATGATGATGTGGCTTCTATAAAAAGCAAGTCTCCACCCCTGCCCTGCTGGCACACCCTGGAGTCCAGCAAGGACGGTCCAAGTTGTATATTCCACTATGGAAGTGGGATTACTTTCCTTAGGGAGACTTCATAAGTTCAGTAACCTTTCCTATCTTTGAGTCTGAATTTTAATAAGGGTTCAGCTCAATTTGAATTATATAGCACTGATGAACTTTGGGATCATGGGCAAGATCCTGATATTTCAATGCTCAGATTTTCCAAATGATTTCTGCCTTTGATGAATATTTAATACTGATTCTCTTTAAAGAAAATTTCCTTTTTGATTGAAAAGCAGAATATCATCTGAATACCCAATGCCCTAGGCATAAGTGATGTTTGGCCATAAATATAAAATAACCCAGGAGAGAGTAAGAGCAAATCAATCTACTTTAATAATGCCTTGCTCACAATTTCCTATGGATGGGAAGTCTAATAGCCTCCTCTCATTTATTAGAAGTAGAAGACAGTTTCTCTCCATTTCACTCCTCAGTCTAAGATGCAACTCCATGCTTAATCAAGAAACACTATGGGCGAAATAAAAACATATGATTCAAGAATCCTACTTCAATCAATAGAACTTTTGCGTGTATTTTCCCCCTAGAATAAATTAGACATTTATCTTTCAAGACTGGCTGACACTGCTTGCTGTTTAAGAAGACACATGAAAGACAAGTGTCCTATTCCAAAATCTCTCTGAGGGGTGAAGGGGCAGTTCAAGGTGGCACATTCTGACTAATTGGCTCTCCCATTTTCCACAGTTTGGACAGTTTTCCAACATTGCACAAGCAATTAAATTGGTGACAGTATGTCACATATGCATAGACATAAACAAAAATGGTAAATGAGTGGCCAGGCAGTGGTACAGGGATAATGGAACTGGACCTACAGGGAAGGACCCTGGACTCCCATCCCAGGGCTTTCTGGAATATACTGGGTGTACATGCATTGGCCCATGTTCCAGGATGGCTAAGACTGGGTGTGGATAGTGCCATGGACCCTATTTGTGGTACCTGTCCCTCTGTCTGTCTGTCTCTGTCTCTCTCCAGAAGAAAGAAAGAAAACAAAAATTAAAAATGAGATTGGAAGCTTTGGTTGAGAGTCATAAATTTGTATAATGATAATAATATAAATCCTATTTAATAAAGTATGAGGTCAGTCTGTTAACTTGTAGGTTCTCTTCTGATTAACATCAGAGTTTATTCACTTTTTTATTCAAGACAAGTTGGGAGAAAATAACTCTACCCTGAGAGCGTTGCTGGCACCCCTAAATTTAGAATATCTGCCTCCTTGGTCCTGGAGTATTCCTGTATGAGCAGTGTTCCTAGGACAGAGCAAAGAAAACATTCTTTGGATCAACCAGTAGTATGGTAGTTAAGATGGCTGGATCCCATATGGCCAACTGCATGGTTTAAATCCCAGATCTGGAAGCTTAAGAAGTATACCAAGTGTGCATGTGCACATGAGCAAAACCCTGAAAGGAGAAAGGGTGGGGAAAGGATTGCAGTGTGATCATCCCCCCATGGTGGGTGCTTTCTTAATTTCTCTTTTTCTCTCTCTCTCTCTCTGTCTCACTCTCTCTGACCAGTGCGTATACCCCCGAAAAACATTTAAGCAAATTTAAAAATTGTATTAAAAAAGAAAACATTACTCTTCATTTGGAGATGGAAGGCGGATTTTGTCTGCTGAGGGCTCCCTTGCTGGACTGCCTTCCTGTGGGGCCCAATTTGTGCTAAATTGCAGGCTCGAATTGTCAGTTTTTTGTGCTAAGAGATTTTGGTAGGGAGCTCATGGTTGCTACTTTCACCCCACACCTCTTGTGGCAATTCCCATTTAGCCATATTTCATTCCTATGTGAGAAGCTGAAGCTGCAGAAATAAGTGAAGCCTTCGTCAGCTCCTGTAGTGTGATAGGTGACTGCTTTCCTTTTAGCCTTTGTAAAATTGATCACTTTCTCTCTTTCATGTCATTGCATAAGCAATTTACAGTAGCATGAAGTAAGTAGACCTATTTAATCATTCTGCTAGTGAAAGCCCAAGATCTCTAAAAATGATAATCACACTTGAATTTATACATTGATAAGCAGTTTCAAAGCATAGCTAAAACAGCATCTCACTGAATAAAAACTATTAGGCTTGTTTTATTAGGTTAAGATAAATATAGTCCAACTCATTTTTTTTCCACTTCATCTCTCCCAATGGGCAAGTTCAATTAATCCATTTATTCTTCCTGGTTGGCTGCAGCTCTACTAGATTGGAATGAGTGAGGTTTATTGCAAACGCCCTTTTGATTCCATTATTGCTACCCGCCCTATTTTACCCATTTAAAAATAGTTGGGGATTCATTAACCATGCCTTGCAAATGGATGTTCAATCCAGAGTCAGGAATATAAAAGAGCTTCTATATTTATATTATTGGACTGGATATTTCCTTTTGTTAAAGATTTTTTTTTCTTATTTTTTCACACATCAGTGCCTGACTGTAAACATAATGATTTCTGGAAATGATATGCCTCTATGGATTGCATCATTTAAAAAATACATATATAGCTAAAGTTAGAACAGAATATCAGGATCAGATGCAATAGGTGGGCATCAGAATCATTACATATATAGGCATCAAAAGTGATTTTATGTCGATAATTCCTTTGTATATTAAAAATTGTCCTGCTTTGGTTAGTGATCTAATTTTTAATGATTTGGGAACACTGACTTGGAAATACCATCTTTCTCTGCTTAAGAGTCTAAAAGGTGGCTTGTTTTGGGAGGGAGGGTGAATACACTTCAATAGATACCTGGCAATGTAAATACAGCATCTCACTCATCTTGTGGCTTTCTGACAGGCTGTTAACACTGGATTCAAAGACATTATGGCCTAAAGGAAGGCAGTAGGGTCTAGGCAAAGAATATGTCAGTACAGAGATTAGTTTCTTTATCTTAAGAAATGTGGAAGCTTCTTACCTCTTCAACAAGTTGCAGCATACGACGGGTGCTTTCCAGCGACTAAGATAAAAAACAGAAAACATTATGAGTGGAGGATGCAGAGAGATCTTAGAAAGTATACTTTGTACACTTGAAAACACAAAAGGTCCCTATCACATATTCTTTCAAGTTTATCACTGAAACACAGAATGTTTTCCCATTTTTAATCTTTTTCCTATTAGACTTTCCACATGATCAGATTCCCTAAAGCAATTACATTAAAACTTATCTTCATAAAATGAAAATCATATGATGCTGATCTTGATATCAAAGACAAAATAATCTGGAAAAGATAATTTTGCAGGCTCAGGATGCATGAAAAATGATCTCAAATACTCAGAGGACTAATTTGGCCTCCCTGGGCCAGGAATATTGAATTTTAAATACAAACATAACTTTTCATGAATTGAGATGAATATAACATCAAGTTTATTATAAAACACCTAGAAGCACTATTGGAAGTTCTTATCAATACAAATTAAGCTGTCGCCTTAGGATGAAAAAAAAATCAAGCATGTCTGAAATAACTAGTCTATAGGAGACAGCTATAATAATTATCTTCATCCTTAGATAAGAAAAAATGAGATGGAGAGTCTGAGCTCAGTGAAGGTCCCTCAGGGTACAGTATTGTCACTTTTTTCTCAGCTCCTTTGAAACTATTAGAATCCAACAACCAATGTGATTTCTCAAAGTCATGCTTTTAAATGACAAACTTCTTTTGGATGAGATTCTTCTAGAAACTGGAGGATGTTAACTTTCCTGGAAAATCTGTCAGCAGGCTGCTTTTTTGAAATCGAATTGCTGTAAGGAGTGGTATGTTGGTTAAGTGTTTAACAACTGGCTCTTCAAGTTTATTATTTTACTGATATAAAAGATGAATAGCACAAAATTTACAAAATAATAAAATGTACAATACCCTTTATTGTAAATTCCATATAGCAATTGATTCTCACAGAAAGCTTTTCTAGATTTTTTCTAAACACTGGTCCACAGTTCACTGTGTGATGAACAAGTATAGTTCTAACATGCATGTTAGCTGGATATTTTTATTTATATTAATGAGTAGTAGGAAAATGAAACACGAACACATGCTGGAACTTTACTCATTTGTTTCTTTGCTAAAGAGAATCATAGTTTCCAAATACTGGGAGATTTCCTCAATATTTTGCATTAGTCCACTAGGACTAATGAACGGCTGCAGATATGCATGCTTTTAAATTGATCTTCATTATTAATATGTCCTCCACTTTCATAAGCCTAGGCAGTCAACAAAAGAGTAAGTCAAGCTCTGATTTGTAGTGTTTGCAGATGTCCGTGGTGTAAATACTCTATCCTGTCTAATTTTTAACTACACCATGACATCACTGAATGTGAATTGAGAAGATGTGAAGTAGCACTGTTGCGAGGTATTCCCACCTCGCACATGGATGTTAGGACATGGATGTATAGACACATGGATGTTAGGAACATGAGCGCATGAAAGTAGTCAAATGTAGTAATGTAATTAAGAAGTGACAAGTTTTAAGTATTTATTATCTTTTAATTTAATATATCTAATCATCAGTTTATATTATTCATGTCAATAATGTCTCTGTTTAGCAACCAGCCTGCAGAGTTCCAGAATATGTAAAAATCAGCCAACTCCAGCATACCACTAGCCATAAAACACCCAAAGACATTGCTCTTCATAAAGCATCTTGACTTCTCATAATTTCTAGATATAAGGAGTTTGGGCCAAGACATAAATTTTTATACACACTTTATAATCAACCCATTCTGGTCTGCAGAGGTCTTAGGTGTACAGGAAATAGAAGTAATATCACTGTTTTGAAAAATTAAAACATTATAAAAAGGCTTTTTCCCCACCTGTACCTGAGTAAGACAAACCACCTAGTACTCCCTCTTTAATTTGCCTTTCCTTGTCTCTGTCTCTCACCTCATCAGCCAACTGGTCAGCCCTTCGCTGCATCTCCTCCAGTTCATTGCGCATGTCCGCGTCTTCAGCCATGGTAGCGGTGGGGGGTGGCTGGGCACCTGGGCTGGGGGATCACTGATGAATTTGACCACAGAACCTGGGAAAAGGAGATATGAAATTAGATTGGAGAGTTTATATGTGTGTAGGTGTGTGCAAAGAGTGGAGAATCTAAATGACCCACACTGTCCCCATGGCTCAGTCATCTGCTGAACTGAAAGCCATGATCAGACAGGGTCAACAGAATTATGCTATTTATTTAAAAGTTACCATGATCACATGCTTGTCAACATGTGATGACAGATACCTGTCAATCTATGAAGTATTTTTAAAGACAAAAGCCCCCAATGGTTGTGAATGATGGGATGGAGAGTTCATTCACGTTTAATGTAGATTTATTCATCTGTATTTTCATTTTATCTCTAATGGTTTTATTGAGGGATAACTGACATATAATCAACTCCTCATATTTGAAGTGTACAATTCAAAAATTTTTGCTATATGTATATAATAAGACACCATTGGGGCTGGCAGGTGGTGTGGTAGTTAAAAGGTACTGGATTCCCACACGGTTGATCACAGTTCAAGTCCCAGACCTGACTGCTTGCTTTTCTCCTTTCCCTTTTTTTCTCTCTCTGGTCAAATATAAAAATAATAATAATAAATCAAATTAAATAAAAAGTAATTATTTAAAAATAAATAGAAACTATGACTACAATCAAGAAAATGAATATATCCATGACTCTTACAAGTTTTCCTATGTCTTTTGTGATTTTACCTCCCCAGCAATCCCCAAACTATCCCACCTCACCTTCCATGCCCAGAACACGGCTGATTTGCTCACTTTCATTGTAAATTGGCTTGCATTTCCTATTTTATATAAATAAAATCATCTAGTATGTATTATATTTTTGTCTGACTTCTTTTACCTAGCATTATTATTTTGAGATTCATTAATACTATACTATGTAGTTATAGGTCACTGATTTTTGCTGTTGGGTACTATTCCATTGTACTTAGAAGCATGTAGAAGCAAAGGCAAAAAAATCTTTTGTCTCTTTCAATTGTTATCAGAGATTGTCAAGAAGGCATGTGTGTGGGTGAGCTATTCTCAATCCAAAGATGGATGACTCCCTGGTCCTGAAATGTGACCAACCCATTTCTTGGCTATGCTCTTAAAGTCTCATATGGTGCAAATTACAGATGGCAGAACTGAGCTCCGCCTAGAGCAAACCTTTCTCTCCCGCTCCTTCCTTCCTTTCATTTTCCTTTCCTTTCTTCCTTTTTAAATTTTTATTGAGCACATATTACATGCCAAGACAGTGTGAAGAACCAGGGATAGAGTGATGAATAAATAAGACAAGCCCACTGTCTTCACAGAACTCCAATGTAATTGCAAAGATAAGAGTGACAGAAGGAGGGACCAGCAGATGAGCAGATGGTGTAATGGTTACGTCACTGGACTCACACATAGTTGACCACAGTTCAAGTCCAGGACCTGGTAGCTTGAAACTCACACCAGGTGCATGTGTGTGCACGTCCAAAATCCCAAGAGGAAAATGGAGGAGAATGGATTGTGGCATGCCATCCCCCCCTGGGGCAGGGGTGATTTCTTGCTTTCCATCCCTTTGACTCTCTCTGTCTCTCCAGTGAGTGCATGTGCTCTATAGCAAAAATCTCTTACACACACACACACAACAGTGAAAGAAAGAAATCAGAGTATTCAGAGTGATAAAACAGTATTTACAGCAGGTAATATGCCTGGCCTCAAGAGTGTCCATGGAAGCAGGGGTCCCTAAGAAAGTCATGACCACATCAGAGGCAGAAGGAGAGGTGGTACAAAGCCTGAGGAAGGATTTAAGATAATAGTCTATGTGATGGGGACCAGCACTTGGTGTAATGGCTATGTTGCTGGACTTCAATGTAGTCAACTGCTGTTCTATTCCCAGACCCGGTGCCTTAAACTCGTGGCAGGCACATGTGCGTGCATGCCCAAGATCCTGAGAGGAGAATAGAGGAGAAGGGATTGTAGCATGGCTATCCTCCCTGGGGGGTTATTTCTCGCTTTCTGTCTCTCTGCCTTTCTGGCGAGTGCACACGTCCTATAGCAAAAACTTCTCCAAAAAAAAAAAAAAAGATAATAATCTATGTGATGGAAGCTCAGTGAGTAGCATGACTCTAGTAGAAGGCATGGGCTCTTGTCTATGCTGAGATAGACGGCCAGAGTGACCTGGAGTTTATCTTCCCTCTTCCATTGGAGAGCATGGTCTCTGGAAGCATTCCTTCAGCCAGGAATTATATTTCTAGGCCCCACTATACGTGTCACATGTGACTAGGCAGTTCATGAGTTGTAATAAAAATGATGTGTATCTCTGACAAAGGCGGTTTGGAACCAGGTATTATTCCTGTCTTTCCTTCAGCCAGCAGAAACAGGATGGATAGATGAGGCATAGGACAGCAAGAACTCAAATTTCCAAATCCCTACATGAAGGGAAGTTAGCAATTGACCAGAAGCACCTGCACTTTTATGTGAGTGAACGATATACTTCGAATGTGCTACACTACTGAAAATGTGAGGGCTTTGTTTTATTAAAGAAGCTGGTCTTATACTAATAAAGGCCTGAAGAAACTGAAGATGGCATGGAAACATTGCATATTAGTAAGATCTCCTCACTGAAAAACATTATTTGTGTTTTTCTTTCTATTAAAAACTGAAGGTGCTAGCCAGCTGGTGGCATGGTGGTTAAGGCGCTGGACTCCTACATGACTGACTACGATTTGAGTTCTGGACCTGGCAGCCTGAAAATTCATACTAGGAGTGAGTGTGTGTGCCCAAACTCCTGAAAAGAGAATGGAAAAGAAGGGATTGTGGCATAGCCATCCTGCCTGGGGTGATTTCTCACTTTCCATTTCTCTATCTCTCTCCAGCAGAGCACGTGTGCCTTATGGCAAGAACAGCAACCAAAAAAAAAAAAAAAAAGCCAGAAGCTGGAGGGCCAACTGGTGGCATGGTGGCTAAGGCAGCTGGATCTCACATGGCCAACTACATGGTTTGAGTAGCAGACCTGGCAGCTTAAAAACCATGCTAGGGGAACGAGCAGTTAGCGTAATGGCTCGGTTCAAGTAGTCGGCTGCGGTTCAAGTCTTGGACCTGGCGGCTTAAACTCAAGCCGGGCGCATGTGCATGCGTGCCCAAGATCCCAAGAGGAGAATGGAGGAGAAGGGATTGCGGCGTGGCCATCCCCCCTGGGGGGGTGATTTCTTGCTTTCTGTCTCTCTGTCTCTATTTGGCGAGTGCACGCGCCCTATAGCAAACACCTCTCAAAAAAAAAAAAATGCTAGGTGCATTTTGTTGCATGCCCCAAATCCTGACAGTAGAATGGAGAACAGATTATGGTGTGGCCATCCTCCCATGGGATGCGCTATCTCTCTCTGAAGAGCCCATGCATCCTATAGCAAAAAAAAAAGACAAAAAAACTGAAGCTGAGGGACCAGCAGATGGCGTAATGCTTACATTGCTGGACTCCCACATAGTTGACCACAGTTTGAATCCCAGACTCAACAGCATAAAACTCACACTGGGTACGTGTGTGTGCATGCCCAGAATCCAAAGAGGAGGTTGGGGGAGAAGGGATTGTGGTATGGTCATCCCCACTGAAGGGTGATCTCACTTTCTTTGTCTCTATCTCTGTCTCTCTCGTGAGTGCTTGTGCCCTATAGCAACAAAATCTCTCTTAAAAAAAATGAAGTTGGAAAAGGAAATTAGATTTAGAGCCTTGGGGCAATACCATATTATTATTGTTACCTGTATGAGAATCATTTTGTACAAAAATGCAATAAAGAAGGGTACACTAATTGCCCTGACTTAATCATCACATTATATTCATATACTGAAAATTACATTGTAATAAGTATTACATTAATACAAAATTACAAGCTTAAATAAATAAATAAATCATCAGGAACTACTCAATGGGAGGCAAGAACACAAAAGTTTGCAGGGGCAGGCCCTGGGGAGATGGCTCTGCTATCCCTTTCACCAGTTCCACTACTGTACTGTTTTCTCAACTGCTAAGATTGAATTACACTGGCATTTTAGTTTAGTATATATTATTAGAATCTTTCAAATCCATTGCTCTGTGAAGTAAGTTGTACTATTTAAGACTCTTAGGTAGGAGGAATCCTAAAGTGAAAATTTTTTTGGAAACAATAGATTTCACAGTTCTTTTCTACCCAGTGATTCTTGGGCTAAGTGTCAAGTACAAAAGTGAACTAAAAAAAAAAAAAAAAAAGAAGATGATGAAGAAGAAAAAGAGCTTGAGGGGTTGTATTCTACCACTGTTATATAAAAAAAATAAGGTAGTACATTTAGGTTAGGTTAGTTTTTTGGGCAGTCATTTATAAAACTGACCAAGCATCATACTATGACCCTGCTAATTTTTAAACATCTATGTTGGCTTCTAGAAGATGTAGAACTGTAAATATTTTGTGCCTTATTAAATATAGTCATCTATTTCAGAAATTAGGGATCTAGGGGACCACCAGTTAGCGTAATGGCTATGTCGCTGGACTCCCACGTAGTCGACCATGGTTCACGTCCCGGACCCGGTGGCTTAAAACTCACGCCAGACGCGTGCGCGTGCGTGGCCAAGATCCCGAGAAGAGAATGGAGGAGAAGGGATTGCGGTATGACCATCCCCTCTGGGGGGTGATTTCTCGCTTTCTGTCTCTATGTCTCTCTCTGTCTGGCGAGTGCACGCGCCCTATAGCGAAAACCTCTCCAAAAAAAAAAAAAAAAAGAAAGAAAGAAATTAGGGATCTAGGAACTGGAAAATGGAAGGAACTCATATGAAATCATGCTTGACCCTCAAGTTGAATAGAAAACAGATTAAAGTGATTAGAGATCTACCTTCCATAAAGACATGGTAGACTCATGGTGGAAGGTCAGTAGATTTGAGGCCATAGTTTAGGCGAGTAGATAAGGGCTTTGATGTCTGAAAGATCTAGTTGGACTAGGAAGCTGGGTGATCCTGGGCAAATTTTTCACCTTCTCTGAGCCTTCATTTTCTCAACAGGGCAAACAATACTAATTCCATAGGC